TTCTGTTTTTGGCACTCTTAATTCAGGCTTCGGCGCTGTGGCCACTCAGATCTTTGAGATGCGAAGGGCTGCCTGGCGAGCTGGGGGGGGGGGTGTTTGGGGACCGGAAATCCGAGTCTTCCGATGCAGATGGAGTGACCAGTTACCAAGTGGACCAAGCCCAAGAGCCATTTGAACGCAACATCCATGCAACGAAAGTCGAGACGACGGCGTTGGGGAAGACTGGGTTATTCTTACCCTAGGCCAGGAGATGCCGGGACAGAGCTTCCAAGGCCAGCAATGGTAGCCTTGAAGTGTGCATTGGCCCCAGCATTGGAGCCTATGCGGGAAAAATCTCCTCACGATCTTACCGCTTGCAGGCAGGCAGAGTGTCTACAGGGTCAGTTTGAGCATTCTGCTGCACGGATTCACAGTTCTGTAACACAAATCTCACAAGTCTAAGTTATGTTCGATGCAGGTGGTCCAGAGGGCCCCTTCACGTGCAGCGCAACAGGTTCACTTGCCGCGACTCGGAGCCAACGCTGTCAAGATGGATGGAAGACATCTCCCCAGTGAGGAGCTCTGTGGCGAGCAGGGTTCTTCTCCTGGTGCATGGTGCAGTCAGCGGAGAACCTCAGCTTGCGATCTCAGCCGCCTTCAGATCCCACAAGCAGAGAGAAAAGTAGAGATAGACTGGGATAGACTGTACAGAAAACTGAATTTTGGAAGAACACTGTTTGATGGTGCAAAGGAAGTGCTTTTTGTAGTTTTGTTTTATCACATGAGCGAATTTCTGCCAACTTCACCCATTCGAGGCGGTGTGCTGGTGAGAACGCCACCCCTGCAAGAGACGGCGAATTCCTGTTTGTCCATTGAACTTGGCAATGCGGACCTTCATGTATAGCAGCAAGCTTGGATCTGCAGACAGCCACAAAGTGGGCCAGTCTCGCAGAGCAAGTGGTTGAAGAGAACATCCAGAAGTGATGAGTTTAATAAACATGACTCAACAGTCGCTTACTGTCGCAATTAGGATTATAGATAACACGTTCCCCTTGCAATGCTAATATGCGAGCTGCCATTGAAAAAGAGAGGAGCCTCTCTCATCACCGGCAACGAAAGAGCCCAAGTTAGCTCCTTGTGTTCAAGTAGGGGAGTGTGGACGGCCCAAGCTTGGCTGGCGGTCGAACCGTTGCTGTTCTGCCTTCCCTTCTCACTGGCAAGGATCGTCGAAGGTTTGGCACAGAGAACATGTCAAAGTTCTCCAGTCATTCTCTTCCGAATTCCGAATGGAAACCTTTCTACACGATTCAAAGACCATATCACCCTTTTTCTTTTCCCTGCCAAGCATCTTTGACCAACGACTTGCCGGTCGACTCGTCAAAACCATGGTACTGTAAATCCCAGTATTTGGTTTGTCCTAGTCACTGTATTGTCCACACCTCGTCTCGCTTTGGTCTTCCGCAGGCGCTGGCCGGAGAGTGGCGGCGTCGTTTGCGATGTGGGAGCACGTATGGCCTGGGAGCATGAGATCCGTGCGGCGGAGGCAGAGACATGCGGGTCGTTGGAGGCATATGGGATCATATGGGTTTGCCCGAACGAAAGGACCTGCGAACCAACGGGGCAAGCTATGTTCATACTGGATACCAAACAAACTGCTTTGGACAATCATGATTATCATGTGACACTGCCGAACATGTTCAACCAAGGATACTGACATGATTTTGCCAACTACCTACCATTTGATTTCAATCTGTTTTTCCACCTGTAAGTTTGGCACATCGCTGCTCAGCACGTGGGACTGAGAAGCGCCCATGCTTGGCCACGCTTGTGACTGCAAGTAACTATGCAACCGCTCAATGACCTAGAATGTAGATCTGAAACTGTACAATCCGAGGTCTATGGCAGGGCTGTGTGACAGGATTCTGTTCGAATGGGGACCTCATGCCTCATGATCTTGCAGGGATTCCCCTTCTTTCGTCAACCCATCAAAATAGGAGTTGTCACATGTTTGTTACTCATTTCAGACCACGTGAAGCTTCCCTCAAGGCCAAGAGCAGACCAAGTTCGAGTAGCTGGACTTCCGGCTCAAGTAGCTCGTGGTCCTTTGAATTCCGCTCTTACACCAATCAGGAGGCCTGTTGAGTTGGGTGTGGATGTAATCATTGAAAGACCCACAGCCAGTTGAAGTGGATTGATTCAATTTTATTTCACTTCTATGCCACAAAAGGCCACAAAAGGCCACAAAAGGCCACAAAAGGCCTTGGAATCAGAGTGATGGTGCTTCTTGGGCCGACTGCAGAGATCTTCGCCTTGCAGGAATTGAATGCCATGCTGGGAGCTGAGCCAGGCAAGCGAAGTTCAGCAGTCATGGAACACAAAGACAAGCGCATGGTGCAGGAGGCACAAGGTAAACACTCCGACGGACAGAGCCCCCCTCAGTTATATAGAAATGGATGGCCTAGCCCTGTGAAGACCGCTGTTCCGAATACTTATCAGGGGGTGTTCCAGTTCCATGCTGGTGAGTCGGAGTGTAAAAAGTATCATCTGATGTGTGTCACTCGCCTAGCTAGCCACTCCTTCATTGCAGTGGCGAGACTGATTGAGGTTGCCTTCAGGCATTGCTTTTGCGCCCAGCCAATCGAACGTCCCTGCAGGCAGAGAAACCCTTGGATTGGAGCAAGATAAGAATCGAGATTCGTGAGGATTCGTTGTCAGGATTTACCACTTATCTTGATTTGATTCTGCAAGGTGAATGGTGACAACGCTCAGTTGGAGGACTGGATAGCCAGGAGGGCAACTTAGGCTAGCGGCTAGTCAGACTTGTTGTCCACTCGGGACCCCTTATATAACCCAAGCTATGCTCTCAAGAAGCACATTCCATTGTCCGTTCTAAGGGCACTTTCACCCTTTACATACCTTTCTCTCCACTCTACCGAGTGATACTGTATATAGCAAATCTGTTTGTCGTTTGCTCTTCAAGTTTGCTTTTGACATTTTTTTGAGTCATTTTGATGCAAGGATTGCTCCTTGTAATTTAGAGAGCTCTCCATCCGAAAGGATCGAAAGGGCTCACCATCCGAAAGTGAGGACAACTTCTTGCTGCTCGCCGGCTTACTTCAGCTGAAGATCCGTTGGCGAGGGACATCCGTCTCTCCGTCGGGTGGGAAGTTCCCTCTACTTCGCTGGGACAGCTCCGAGGCGCTTTGAGCCGAGATCGACTGGACTTGAGCTCCGAGTCTCTTTGGACGGTGCTTTTGAGGAAGCTGGTGAGTATTACTGGATCCCATCGTTGTATTACTGTCCATGTCAGATAATTGTCAAAAGACTTGCAGTACAATTGACCGCATGGATCTTCCAAGAGATTAATTTTGCATATTGCACGGTCTCCCTTATGGTAAGCACCCGTCCTATCCTCTGTTCTCCTTAGCGGCGAAAAGACTGCTGATCTGGATGTGCCCCTTGACCAGTATTGTCGACCGTGAAGCAGGGTTGGCAGTTGATGCAAGAGAAGGCATCCAATGCACCTGGGTCATAGCCAGAGAGTATCTACCCGAAGATGCTTGATCCAACTGATCCAACTGACCTCGATTTCGGTCAGGCCATTTTGAGTAGTAGCCTTTTCCCGTGGCAACGCACCTTTGATCGCCCTGAAGCGGCTGAGCGCCTTCGCAGCGTGTCCGCACTTGGGGGCGGGCGGACGAGTGGCGGATCCGTGCTTGCAAGCTGTCCCAGATCTATGGGCTTAGGCATGCAAGTCTTAAGTGATGGAGTGTAATGGTTATTCCGAATATTCCAAGACCTTGAGAGAGGAGAAGCTGAGGGTGTCATTGCAGGGGATAAGGCGGGATGTCTGTCATTCATTTGGGCAACAGGGCAACTGGTGTGTTTGAATGGCTTCAAATAAGAACAGTAGTTTCGTGGAGTAATGTGGAGTATAGTAAAGTTGTAAGGAAGCGCGCGCTAATTTTTGTCTTGAAGTTTCTCTGCTTTTATGATTTTTATGTTGCGTTGGCGTTCTGTTCAGAGAAGGTTGGATTGCGTACTACTGGTACCTTTAAACAGATTCCTTTTGAAGGCAACTGATGATACTGATGAATTGAATTTCCTGGATGCTCAGAAATCTCTTGCCAAAAATCACTGAAAACAGGGATTGACAGCTCGGGCACGTTCAAGGCAAAGACCCCTGGCAGCTGGTCGTCCTGGCCTCGAAAACAATGCCATTGTCCACCCATTTTCATACGGAAATCTTTCCAGTCGTGAAACGCCATTCGAGGTTTTGGTTGAAAACTCAATCTCTTGAGCATTCGTGCAGCCGAATGCTCATCCTTCCGAAGGCCATGGTAGAGGTGGAGGTGGATGGACAACGGCTCCTCGGCTCTTCTACTAAAACATGCCACCTCGGCTCTGTCCACAAATTCTACGAAGCCAAACGTTCCTGATAGTGCTGATGCGAAAAAGGAATGCATGAGTTTCTGAAGCAACTTTTGAGAGGCGACTTGTGGCTGTCGTGAACCGCATGGGAGCCGGGCGACTGGTCTTCAGTGAAGACAGCTAGATGAGATGGTCTTTTGATCATGAAAGCGTGACCTCCAGCAAGGAAGAAGTCTCAAAAACAGGGAGCTCCATTGAATTGTTCAGTAGGAAGTAGGTGAAATCCCAGTTCTCACCAGTGGCTGTTTTTGTTTTTGTCCCATTGAGACAAATTCATATGCATTTTCTTCAGTCTTTTTCAACACAATCCCCGGCCCAAAGAAGGCCCATCTCAAGACCTTTAGATCGAGAGAAAGCGTGGCATTGAGCTTGGAGAGTTCCACTGGGCTCCAGTTTCTCGAACTTCAGCCCTTTTGAAGGGACGATGTGATGTGCTTTTGAAGGCTTGAAGAACATGTCATGATGATGTACGAAAAAAACACATTATTTGCACTTTGATTCATTGAGCTTTCACCTTAACCCAGCCCTGATATTGGCTTGTGTGAGCCGCTGAGTTGCTTTCTCGTCTTTGCAGCAGTTGTGTGAATGAGGTTGTACCATGCAGACGTGGTGTGCATTCAGGTCCGGCTTGATGGTGAAATGGCGAACAGAGACACGCTGTATTGGAGCGTGTTTTCGTTTCTGCAAGAGTGGCCCCCCTCAGCTGAGGGCCTTGACCCGGAGAATGGGAAGGCGACTTGGCACCCAGAGGAGTGGGACCGAAGACCGGACTGAAGACCGATCCGACAAAGGCTCTGACAAAGGCTTCTCAGCGGGTCCCGGGTTTGGGTTAGGCCCTTGAGCTAGCAGCTAGCAGCTAGGTGCTAGCAGCTAGACTTCAATTTTTGGACTCCAAAAACATTCGCCGATACTTGTAGGTGACATCCCATTTGCCTTACCGGTGGCGACCGTTTTTCTGTCCGGTTTTCTTGATCCGTACCAAGCTCGAGGTCGGGGAGGGCGTCACCATGCAACTCACCTGTGACAACTACAGATGGAAACATTTCAAGGGGCCAAACGACGAGGCCGAGCTGTGCACGATGGCCGTGGATCATGTGGTGATTTGTGGTATAGGAAACAAGAAGACATACGGTCAATCCACTGCCTATCTGCGAGTGATTTGCAGCCTCAAATCTCGGATTCAACTGCGTGCAGAGCAGAATCAGCATTTGTACGCATTTGCGCAAAAGAGAAACGCCTCGTGATCTGATGAGATGTCAGGTGAGCATTGTCTTCTTTGACGAGCACCGCTTTAAGTGCCTTGGAAGAAATGAGGGATGAGGTGGAACGGCATGGCAGGATTCATGACCAAGCGAGCCGACGCACAGGTTCTATGTGTGTTTAGCTCTGCTTTTCTGACCCCAATCCTGAAAAAAACAAGAGTGTGGCTCAAGTAATAGAAACTAAAAGAAACACAGCTCAAGGACTCAAGGACATTCTCATGAATAGAACAAATAGATCACATCACAAGGGCTGCAGATTGAAGTACTTTGGTCCTATGCAGAGTGTGGCTTTGAGTTCCTGATGCCTTGAGTTCCTGATGCCACGCGCAACATGGAATTCGCGCTTGCTGGCTCAAGCTTCCAAGCTTCCCTTTTCGGCATTTTTCCACTATATATATATAATATGTCTAGAGCAGGGATCAAGATTCTAGAATTGATTTTTGCACTCTTCGAAATGGAGCCACCGCAAAGGATCAAGACATGATGCAAGATTGCTACTCAGTGGGTTGTTCAAAAGGTGACGGCAGCACTTGTTCCGATGCCCAAACATCCGAAGACCCACTTTTTGCAACCCTCCGAAGAAGAACAAAGAAGCACAGACTAGAGTGACTAGAGCAAAGAAGCACAGCCTAAGCACAGCAAACCAGCCGAGAATCGACTTACCGTTGCACGGCATTCCAATGGCGAACGCCAGACAGCGCCAAAAGATTCGGGAGGACAGTATTTGAACTTCCGATTGTGTTTGTTGCCGAGTCTGCAACATTGGAGTTTCTCCCTGTGCACCCAGGCAAATTGTTTTGTGCTGCCCACTGTGATACTCCCCACGTTTTGGGCGACTCTTTTCTTAAATTGTATGTTTTGTATCTTTTTCCCAATTTACTATAGATGATATATCCATATATCAAGAGGCATGCAACGGATAGGTATGTAACAGCACGTTAATTTTTGTATATTTTTGTATATCTATCGGCGGTATCTACAGTATGATGATTTATCATGATCTGTTCCGGTGGAATAATGCAGCTTCGGTGCATCGTCGGCTCAGAACCGTTCTTGAAGGAGAAGCTGCGGCTGGCAGCAGAGGCACTTCAGCCAGGAGATCGGCTTTGTGCCTCGCTTGCCCTGTTGATGAAAGCTCATCATTTGTGTCGCGAACGGTCACGTGTTCGTAGCTGGATCCAATCGGTGTTGCTGAAGTCTGACTAGGACATATTTCCACATATCAACAGCACAACTGCTGTTTCAAGGCATATCTTTGGAACCTTTGCGGGCTGGCTTGCTGCCACACATTAAGCGTCTGCACAAGGCTCGGATATTTGGCAGAAGATGCTGCAAGCATGTGTTGCTCGAAGAAAGAGACCTGCATCTTGACACGAACGTCAAAGAGACCTGCATCCGATGCAGAGCCAAACCCGAAGAGTCAGTTTTTTACAGCCTGCATTATCCAATCATTGTCCTGCATTCATTTGTTCAATGAACCTTAATGATGTCGAATTTCTAAAAAGTGGATGTCATTCCCTCGTTGTCGGTGCGTTTTGCTGGGTTGAAGACATTTGTGAAAGGAACGGTTGCCTGTGAGCTACGGCGAGCAATACTTCGAAGAGGCATTAGCAAGTAGCTGGTCCAAGGCGGGGTCGGGCAGTTTTTCTGTACATTGATGCAGGCCGTTGATTTGACTGATGGACTGATAGAACTGAATCTCCCCATTTGGATGATAAAACATCTCCATAACATCAGCAGTCTACATTAGGGGTGCCGTGCCACATGTCCAAAATGACATGCTCGGCTCCTTGTGGCCTGATGCAGCGATTTGCCGATCATTTCCCTTTTATTTGGCTGTTTTGAGAGTTCCACATGCAGAAGCGGAAAGCTTATCATTGCATTTTTGGAAACTACTATGGCTAGATTCTAGATTAAGACAGGAAAGCTGGCTTCGCTTCCCAGTCACATATTCTATGAATTTGTGGGATGTTTGTTGTTGCCCTTGTAGGTGGCATAGGGTTGTGGGGTTCCAAGGCGGCCTTGTACGAAGGTATTGACCTCAGCAGCAGTGACCATGAGAAGAAGTTCTAAGTCACAAACTGTTTGTGTTTGGCCCTGGACTGTTGTGTTTCTTGTTATATTTGCAGTTTTTTCAGCTTCCCTCTCATGTCTCTTGCGGCAATAGTGTAAACCTTAGGCACTATCGCTGGAGCTTTGGTTTGCAAGGAGCCAAAGCCAAAGTGGGGAGGGAGGTCAGCTGGGGACAATAAACGTTTCCTATCAAACTGCATGTTGCACCAAAGCATTCGATGGTCAGAATAGAGGACATCCTCCCAAGGAGTTTTGTCAATTCATCTAAAAAAACACTCAATGCCAGGGCTTCAGACCCTGACAGACCTGTTTGGAGACAATAAATGAAACAATCTTCATGAGCACATCTTCGCCAGGAAATGGATGGAGGGCTTCGTGTGCAAAGTTTGGTCACTGCCGTGCCGCTGGAGAGCCCAGCCAAGCTGATGAGAACCGAGTGGCTAGAAAACAATGTAGCCTCTTTGTCGTGCATACTGTAGTCTGTTGTGCCACATGGGAGCCAAACCTGCAACTTCATCACGATCCACTATATAGTGATCATGTCGACTTCTCACAGCATCAATTCGCAAGTACTACTACAGTAGATAGTAATGATAGGTACTAATAGCATATTTAATGGTATTGCCAGTGTCATTCCTACCGGACCTTAGGTTATACGATCTAGCATCCATCAAACCAACAGTCCAAACTGCAGATGCGCCGGGGCATCGGTCCCAGGCGCCGGGGCATCGGTGGGAGGCTCCTGCAGAACCTTTGCAGGGAAGCCGAGAGCTCGGGCATCCGGAAGCTGAGCCTCCATGTCCACGTGAGGAGCGGAGGCAAAGGCAGATGGTGACGGCCTGGCGATCAAAAGATGCTTGGGGGGTTCAAAGAATCTGAGGTCATTTTGGGGCGCGACGTTGAGACACCATCTTGAACTAGACAAGACATACAAAGGAGCCATGCCCTTTCACCACGACTGTGAGAGGAACGAGCCTGCAATTGCACTCTACAAGATGCTGGGCTTCAGGACGCCTTTGAAGAAGCTCCTTTGATCTCGCAACAGAACTGCTTGCCCTATCGTGATTTCAGGGATGGGATAGGAACCCCAAAGCTCCTGCCTTTGCCAAAGCTACTTGGCTTCTTGGAGCTTTTCTTGATAGAACACTATGCCATTTGAAAGACCATCGAGGGGGAAGACATCAATCATTCACCTTAGGTTCTCTTTGATTTGCGTCCGGTTCTCTTTGACCCGTGTCGATTGGTGACGGCTTTGGGGTGCAAGGACTGAGTGCACTAAGCTGAACTACTACCACCGCAGTGCTGGAAGCCCAAGACTTGACGTCTCTGGAGTCAGATCTTAGATCTTCATAAATGGCAATAACACGCATGTTTTGTCATATTGACGGCAGAGAAGCTTCCTGCAAGGCTGGCAGTTTGGAGGACAATCTGGGAGATTCGAGTTGCCATGACTGGCAGTGTTCAACTCCCAAACTCAGCAAGGCATTCTTGCAGGTATCCAGCCGGAAAATCCCTGCAAAGTCATCGGAAGCTGCAATACACACAAGCTTGGATAGCTTTCATATCCTTTGATCTCTTGGGTTGGTGGATGGTTGCTTCAGATGAACACCTCAGGAGCCGTTGGACGCCCTCTTCATGGTGCTGCGCATCGATGCACCGGAGGTGTCTTGTGAGAAGTGGAGCTTCTCCAGTAAACGGACCCAGGCGGGCCATCCAAAGAACGCTTTGTGATCAGTGGGTCCAGGGGGAAAAAGTTAAAACACAACAACCAATTCTTCCGTTTCGAGCAAGTTGCTTCTTCAGCAACGGAGTATACGTTTTTAGGCATTTTTACGACGGCGGACGGTGCTGAAACACATTCCACGTTTCCTCGTACTCTGAATGAGCCACTCTTGTGGAGTCACGTATCTTGTCCTTACGGCCTGAGCTCTTTCCTGCTCCTTCCCAACAGATCAAATCAACAAGAGATGTCCCTCCAAGTCCACCAAATCCAGAGGGTTGCGCAATTGTGCGTCGCACATCCCATCTTCTTTGGGTGAAGATCCCCTCACCAAGAGTTGAATGTTTTTTTGTGAAGACTCTCGGCTCCAGTCTCAAGGGGTGGTGGTTGATTTATAAAAGAAGATCTAGCATCAGCATTTGGGATTGGTACTCCAAGAGTCTTGAAGAGACTGGGTAAGCGCAAGAGGGACATTAAAACAAACATTGAACTCTCGGACTTTGGCCGAAACCCAGGTAAGCACCAGCTGTGTGATCTCTGACGATGAGACCGTCGCACATGAGCGGTAAAAGGATGACCGCACCACGTGGGGTGTGGCGGCTCGAGGAGAATTGAAGAACTGTCCCCGCCCGAATTGGATCCCTACGGCAGCATGCAAGTTGCGACACGTACGGAGACAGGTGGCGTTTAGGAGATTTTCCAAGGTGCACCAACTAGCCACTAGCTTCCATCCTTATCCTGGAATCCCATGAAACTGCGCACGCTGACCCGTCTTTCGGTATTCCGAGTGTCACCTTGAGCAAAAAGCTCCAGCGAAGACTCTACAACAATTGGAATACAACCCATCCAATCCCTGCAATCATTGAGTGCCTAACTTGGGGGACATCGAACCAGACGATCCCTAAAGGTCCATGAACGCCTCGATGCCCAGACGACCAGATCTCGATGCCCAGATTGGTGGCCGAACACGAACACCTGGGCGCCTTGGACCTTCAGTTCTGTGAGGAGCGAACGTGACCTCACCTGAACTTGACCGGAAGTCGTGACAGGAGGCGGCGAGTCCTCGGCAAAGCATGAACCAACATACTGTTATATGTCCATGATTGGTCCGACCATTTGTTTCAAAGATGGCTCAGCATGCTTCGAATCAGATAAGCTTTGTGACTGCAGGATGAAGCTCAAATCCTTCGCGTGGCTAGCGTCACGGTGCAGGCCCAAACAGCCGAGAGGAAGGATCAACGCCATCATTGAAAAGATCATTTTAATTTACACTGTTACACTGAGTTACACTGAGTTACACTGTTACACTGTTACATTTTCTTGACGCATTCGTAAGAGTTTCTTCTCATGCCGAAAGATTCGGCAGTCCAGAACGGGAACTGGCGCCCGGATTTGGCTGTGCCGTCCAGGCGCCTTCACAGAAGGAACTTTCAGAGCTTTTGAGCCCGGAGGTGCGGAGACGATCGATTGGAATGCACGAAGAAGCCTTGGTGTTGAGCTGTAAGCAGCCGAAGAGCTGCTTGAGAAAAGGCAACCCCAGTTCTACCGCGCCTTGCAGGGTCAAAGGCAACCAAGCACCTGGCTGTACCCACTGCACGTTGGTTTGCTCCAATATTTTTTGAGCACAGCATGCATCAAAGAGGTTTGTTTTGGAGCAGATCTCATAGAGCACAGTGACTTGGTTCCGCTCCAGGTCAAAGCCTTGGTGATCGCAGCGGATTGCTTGCCCATCGGAGGCGTGGGTGGTGTGCACCTCATGGCTCGCTGACAGCGACCAGGGACCGAGGGTGGTGTGACCTCTGTGGGTAAAGAGAAGCCAAAGTCGCAATAGACTGGAAGATTGACCACTGCCTCATCAAATCTAGGTTTGGGAATGTTTGGGATGATTCATGGTGATTCCCAATTCACCGTCTCCTAAGTTCAAGGAGTCCTTGGCCGCGGCCTCCATTTGTTTGAGACAGCCATTTCGCACAGGCACAGAAGTCATAAATATGGTGCAGGTGTTGCCGGCATGATTTGTGGGAACAAAGTGTGTACCTCGAGCTGGCTGCTGTATTGGAACACGATCTAGTTGAACTTAAAGGCATTTCCAAGGATGATACAAGCATTTGCAGCAGCCAGGAATTTGAGGACTTACATTCAGCTTACATGGACATTGGGAAGGAGGCGGCGCCAAGCTTTCATGAACGCTTAGTGCACAACTTGCAACGAAGCTGCGGCCCTTTACCTCACTGGCCATTTCCATTTTTGGAATCTGTCTCTTGGGAAGCTGAAGACATCAACCTGCAAGTTTCACCAAGTCTTAAACATGTGCGATTGAACGAATCGAGCGAATCTGGACAATGAAACCAATATGAAAGCGATCCACCCACCATCCCTCTTCATCTACCGATGCAGGAGGTTTGGACGCCTGTGGGCAAGTGGGACCCTTTGGCTCGCCGCCAGCGGGCCATGAAGAACAGTGCCCAAGGGATCAGCTGATCCGGCGCAGGGAGTTGACTTGATGTTTGGCCGTCCTGCTTGCGCTGCTTGCGCTTTCCAGACTCTTTGGGGTGTTTAGGGTGATTTGTGTCAGGTATAAGCGGAACACTGAAGTGAGGAGCTCGTGTCTTTTTCATGTCGCTTTTCTTTTTCCCGAATGCGTAGCGAAGGGTTCTCGTTTAACTCTTTGGGGGTCTGGGGGTAGAGCCTTGTTCGCGACCCGTTGTTTCTATGTTCGCAACCGTCCGCAACCGTCCGCAACCGTCCGCAACCGTTCGCAACCGTTCGCGGTAGAGCGCTAAGGCGCTGCCATTGGGGGAAGCTTTTGCAAGTGACTATTCATGGATGTGTCACGTGTTAGTTTGCGAGGCGAGTTCATTGTGATTTGCGTGAAAATGACATGTCGCGCAAGAAGCGTGATGCATTTCGCTGCACAGGCGCAGCGTTTTGTGAGATCCGCAGTTTGCTACGCAGTTCCATTGGGATTAGCGTTTGGAGAGTCGTGTTTTTGGGGTGTTGCATGTGGCCGTGCCATGGGGATTTGCGTTTCAGAGTGTGGCATCGAAGCTCTATTTTCGTGACAAGTCTCAGCTGAAATGCCGATTTTGGTGGATGGGAGTATGCTCAGAACGGGTCGAAATCATTCCAAACGTGTGGTGTGGTGCAAATTTTGTTGAAGCTCACATGAGATGACATTGTTACTTTTCGTGGCAGGCGCAGGACTTTGTGCGGGTTTTGAGGTGTGGAAGTGGGATTTTCGTGGCAGGTGCAGGGAATCGTGAGGTTGCGATGTGTGACGGAGGTGACATTTCGTGGCAGGCGCAGTACTTTGTGCGTGTTAGACGTGTGGATGCGGAAAGATTCGTGGCCGGTGCAGGGAATCGGGAGGTTGTGAGTTGTGGTAGAGGTGAATGTCGCTGTCACATTGGGATTGGTGTTTGAGCGGGTGTCGTTTCGAGGGGCTGGAATCGCGAAACTGCTTGGCAGCCCACAAGAGTGTCCTACAAGAGTGTCCCGTAAGAGTGTCTCACAAGAGTGTCCCACAAGAGTGTCCCGCAACCATGTCCCACAAGAGTGTCTCACAAGAGTTAAGAGTGTCCCACAAGAGAGAGTGTCCCACAAGAGTGCCCTACAAGAGTGTCCCACAAGAGTGTCCTACAAGAGTGTCCCACAAGAGTGTCCCACAAGAGCAGCCCGCAAAGGGTTTCCGACAAGAGTGTCCTACTTGTGTCCCACAAGAGTGTCCCACAAGAGTGTCCCGCAAGAGTGTCCCAAATGAGTGTCCCACAGGAGTGTCCCGCAAGAGTGTCCCGCAACAGTGTCCCTTAAGAGTGTCCCACAAGAGTGTCCCGCAACAGTGTCCCACAAGAGTGTGTCCCACAAGAGTTTCCCACAAGAGTATCCCACAAGAGTGTCCTAGAGGAGTGTCCCACAAGAGTGTCCCACAAGAGTTTCCTACAAGAGTGTCCCACAAGAGTGTCCCACAACAGTGCCCTACCAGAGTGTCCCACAAGAGTGTCCTACAAGAGTGTCCCACAAGAGTTTCCTACAAGAGTGTCCCACAAGAGTGTCCCACAAGAGTGTCCCACAAGAGTGTCCCACAAGAGTGTCCCACAAGAGTGCCCTACAAGAGTGTCCCACAAGAGTGTCCCACAAGAGTGTCCCACAAGAGTGTCCTACAAGAGTCTCCCACAAGAGTGTCCTACAAGAGTGTCCCACAAGAGTGTCCCACAAGAGCAGCCCGCAAAGGGTTTCCGACAAGAGTGTCCTACTTGTGTCCCACAAGAGTGTCCCACAAGAGTGTCCCGCAAGAGTGTCCCAAATGAGTGTCCCACAGGAGTGTCCCACAAGAGTGTCTCACAAGAGTGTCCCTTAAGAGTGTCCCACAAGAGTGTCCCGCGACAGTGTCCCACAAGAGTGTGTCCCACAAGAGTGTCCCAAAAGAGTATCCCACAAGAGTGTCCTACAGGAGTGTCCCACAAGAGTGTCCCACAAGAGTGTCCCGCAAGAGTTTCCCAAATGAGTGTCCCACAGGAGTGTCCCACAAGAGTGTGCCGCAACAGTGTCCCACAAGAGTGTCTCACAAGAGTGTCCCTTAAGAGTGTCCCACAAGAGTGTCCCGCGACAGTGTCCCACAAGAGTGTGTCCCACAAGAGTGTCCCACAAGAGTATCCCACAAGAGTGTCCTACAGGAGTGTCCCACAAGAGTGTCCCACAAGAGTTTCCTACAAGAGTGTCCCACAAGAGTGTCCCACAAGAGTGCCCTACAAGAGTGTCCCACAAGAGTGTCCTACAAGAGTGTCCCACAAGAGTTTCCTACAAGACTGTCCCACAAGAGTGTCCCACAAGAGTGTCCCACAAGAGTGTCCCAACAAGAGTGTCCCACAAGAGTTTCCTACTAGAGTGTCCCACAAGAGTGTCCTGCAAAAGTGTCCCACAAGAGTGTCCCACAAGAGTGTCCCAAATGAGTGTCCCACATGTCCCACAAGAGTGTCCCGCAAGAGTGTCTCACAAGAGTGTCCCTTAAGAGTGTCCCGCAAGAGTGTCCCGCAACAGTGTCCCACAAGAGTGTGTCCTACAAGAGTGTCCCACAAGAGTTTCCTACAACAGTGTCCCACAAGAGTGCCCCACAAGAGTGTCCCACAAGAGTGTCCTACAGGAGTATCCCACAAGAGTGTCCTACAAGAGTGTCCCACAAGAGTTTCCTACTAGAGTGTCCCACAAGAGTGTCCCACAAGAGTGTCCCGTAAGAATGTCCCACAAGATTTTCCTACAAGAGTGACCCACAAGAGTGTCCCACAAGAGTGTCCTACAAGAGTGTCATTTGGACATATGTAGCTTTTGGAACGTGTTTGCATTCGGGTTCGTGGGCTCCATCTTGTTTATTCCAGGGTTTTCACCTGCAACGTTATTCCATGTAAGCTTCCAAAGAAACTGCATGTGCTTAGGCTTCACAGCCCCGACTGCATTTTGTGCAGGGGCGTGGTCAGCAGCTCGGGTTGCTGACTCTGATTTTGGAACCTACAGTATACGCCTGAACAACATCGATCCAATTTCCTGTAAGGTTCTGATAGCTTCTTTGATGCCTTGCCTTCTCTGCAACATAAAGTATCCTCAATCAATCCAAGTTTCTTTGCGACAACTCGAGGGTCCATGTAGTGTCAGATCGGTGCATGTTGGGGCTGTTGACCTGCTGAATCATCCTACAGAATTTGTGGCAGCTCCATGTCCAACAGCAAAGTGAATAGCAAAGAGCATGACACTAAGTGGCATAATTGTTGAACTAGTCAACTAGTAATTAGTTCATAATTGTTCCCACCTTTCAGTCAATGCTTTATACCAAAGAGCATTGACGTGTTTCGACCGCCGACGTAGCGGCCTTCTCAGGAGGCGATCGCTACCCTTGCAGGGCACAGGCCTATGTACCTCATGACCCTGAGCCCAGAGGACCGAGAAGCACCAGAGGTTTTTTGCAGCAAAGAGGAGAGACCGGGACACCTGGGGTCTGATTGACACATTGCTTCCGAAGAGAGTGGCCAAGGCGAACCCTTTTGACAGTTCCACTTAGGTGGCTCTTTTTCACATCCTCCTTCAAGAGCTTTGATTCTTGCAATTGATAGCATCCCCCCGCCCTGTCAGTCACCTCACCTCAGGAAGCAGCTGCCCAGTTTCCGACTCTTCGCATGCCCCTCCTGACCATGTTTCAGTGGCCTACACAGGCAAATCTCTGACTGCCAGCTTGTGTTGAAAAATAAGACCACGTGGGGGGTGAGCAGAAAGTCATGCGACAGTTTGGCTAAGCGGCTGATCGAAAGGTAAACAGAGGGTGTGGTGCGACTGTCACTTCTGAGAAAGAGAGTCTCAGTCTCAGTCTCTCTCGCTCTCTGTCTCTCTCGCTCTCTGTCTCCCTATCACTCTCACTATCACTTTCACTCTCTCTCTCTCTATCTGTCTGAACGAAGCTAAACCTTGGTTGAGATCTTGGTTGCCAAAGCTCCATAGCTTGGAGTCCAATGTCTTTCATGACAGGCCAAAAGCTGAAGCTCCTGTACCAAGCCGACAGAATTAGCTCACCTTGTTGCCTTCTTCAGATGTTGCCTCCTCCGCTGAGCCAAGGAGGGTCTGAGAGGTTGTTCTCAAGCGCCTCCAGCCAGCTGCCAATGTTTTTGTTTCAACTCTTGCCCTGGAGATCATATTGTTGACAGTTGCATCTTGTTTTTGAATCTTGGCAGCCATCAGTTTCACTGCGAGAATCTGGGAGGTAGATTCCAGTTGTGTGACCATTTTGTTCTTCAGAGCTTTCATTTTGGTTTGTTTGGGGAACCGTCTCTCCCAGCTTCTCAGCGAAACCAAGCAAGCAAGAGGCATGGTGTCAGGTTGACAGGCCTCCTTTGCCAACCTGCAACCACCAACTCAATGTACAATGTAACTCTCATGATGGGCAGCATGTCGGAAGCGAGCCAGCTGCATGAATGTCTGCAATGGCTGCACCTGTAAACTGTATACTGATTGTCAGAGTGGACATCATTGGACATCCTTCAGACAGATAGGTGCCAACTGTGGTCTTTGAGGACAAACTCCTCGACCGAATCAAGCAAGACTGGCCACATTGGCCAAATCCAAGCATTCAATGCACGAGCACTTATTGCTGAGGCGGCTGAAACCAAGTGTACAGAGCCTCTCAGAATGAGTTGAGCAAGTTGAGCAGTCGAGCCCTCAAAATAGCACGCCAGGCGTGCGAAGCTGAGCATTGGTGCAAAAAGTTGGGATGAGCACTGAGACAGTCAGCTCACTTCTTCTTGGATCCACCAACTGAAACAACCGAGAACTGCCGCAGACAAAGAGATTGATTTCATAGTGTGAGCCCTGGCACTTTTCACATTGCGAATTTCTGCGACCACCTCAAAACCACAATGTTTTTTTTTTTTTTACCACATCTTTTTTGTATTCCTACTCTCGGCTTCTTCGCTCTCTATACGTACACCCACTCTGCGTGTTCTCAATGGTCAGTGGTTAGTAGATATGAAACGACCCCGACCAACGAGCCTCCACGAAAACTTCGGGCACCGAGCTGTTTTCTTGTTAAGGCTTGCAAACACAATGCAGGGGGCTTTTGTGAGTGTCAAGAGGGCGAGCCGGTTCTCAAAGACATTGAGCTCCTTTTGCCGGAAGGAATGAATGTAACTGCTGGTTGGCGCTCCTTCATTCAATGAGAAATAATCACAGAATTCACGAGAATTCTCCTTGTTTGCGATCATGAAATGATAGAGATTCCATGTTCATTGCTTCTCCCTGTTTGCGGGATGGACCGCATGACCCACGCGTCGACATGCGGTCGACCGTCGGCCCGGTGGTTTGGAAGGTTGTGAACAAGGCCCTGTGGGTGACAAGGTGGAATCAGGGTGAGAATCTGAAAGGCAATCATCACAGGGGTGACAGTTGAAAGGTTAAGGTTCCAATCTTTGAACTTTGGACAGTGCCTTATTTCAATGAGTATTGTTTTGAGACCTTTGAGTGGACAACTCAGGCTGGTACGATAATGTGCTTCAGGCTATTTGCCCCCTTGCACTTTTGTAGCTACTTGTAGGATCTTGCTCAAGTGACATGGCAGCCGAGCATACAGCTTGACATGGACTGCATGAATGCCAGATAAGGCCTCGACAATCCGCAGCACGTAAACCAAACGTGCATTCAACATCATTCAACCATTTCAACAGTTGCCTCCATGACGTTTAATTTCAAGAAAGGTTTCCTGCAAGGAACATGAACGGCACCAGTGGACATCCAGTAGGTTTTCAGGCCTAGCCAATGACAAGCAGTTTCTCATTAACTCCAGAGGATCAGCTGATTGAACAGCCGGGGGCCAGAAGATCACTGCATAGAACGCTGACTTCCCGCGGCCCAACGGCCTCTCAAGCAAGATGGCGGTCACAACGAAGCAGCGGCTTTCTGATATGCTGGAGCGGATCATGGAACGCTGTAGACCAGGGAAGTTGTCTCTGGATTGAACCAACAGCCCACAGCCCCGCACGATGAGGTGGTGGTCCGGTTTTGTAGTCTTCGCAGTCCGACGGATAGATACGGACAGCCCGCTTCCTGGATTTGACGCTGTTTCCTCCTTTCCAGGATGCTGACCTCAGCAAGGCAGATGTGCAGGAGTCGGCGCTTACTTTGGCAAGATTTGCACTTCAGTGCACGCCGTTTAAGAATTATATAATATATGCATAGAATCTCATTGAACAGACAGAGATTGGAACCACTGGATGGGGCTCAGGAAAAAGACCTTTGATTGTAGAACCTACGTATCTTGAGCAGCCTTGTGGTCCTCGGTTCATGGGCTTTTAAAAGATTTTGCGGTTTTCTGTTTGATTACGTCCGGCAGCAAAAATAACTGTAGCAGAACAATGAGTTGCCGGTGCGGATTCACACACATTCAATATTCAGATTCAGATTGTTTTGAATCAGGGCACCCAGGCAGTGCTCATAGCCTAGGACCTAGGGTTTTATGGGCCTCTTGCTTTCCCAGGATATGGAGGAAGAGATGATCTCCAGTAAGCCTAGTACCTTTTCCGACTGGCTACAGGCGCGCATCGCCCGTGCCGATCGCATGAAGTGAAGTCTCCAGATCCGAAGCAGCGACCGGTGACTTCTGCGACCGTGGAACGGTCCACCGGGTCCGTTTGCTTCGACCGAGAGCGTCGTCAAACCGGACATGTCTTGAGCGAAAGCTGTTAGCGACGATCTGAGAAAAAGAGTGCGAACGGTGCAGCTGGCAGCACAAGATGAAGTTCTGTGCTTTGTCCAGGCAGCATCCATTGAGGAGATGAAGGCTTCTCTCAAGTCCCTGCTTTCTGTAAGCAATGGACAGGCCTGCCTGTGGGGACGGCCCCTCTTCATGCTGCACAGGTGCTTGTTCACACGATTGGGCTTAACCCACATGAGAGACGAGTGGTACTAGCTAATAAGCTCATAGGCTCACCCACGCGGTCCTCCTTTGTCTTAGCTCACAAGCAACTCTGTAAAGGATTCTTTGCACCGACATGTCGACCGCGGGTCAACCAACTTGTGAGTGCGAGCTTAATCTTTTGATGAGTCAAGCCTTCGGTAGAGTGCAAAAAGATCAGACATCGTTCAAACCATGTGGGGCGTACTCGGCACAAGGCCACTTCTTCCCTTCACATGAGTCTCAACTATCACAAAAACTGATGTGCCATTGTGGCACAGGCTCAAAACCCTGATGCGGCTCAGAGGTCATAGCCATCATGCTCATCATACGATGTGCCAGACTCTGATGCCGTTCGCCTAACATGCCTCAAGCCAATGACATCCCGGTCATTGAGTGAGCTTCGATCATCCGCTGCCATGTCAAAAGTGGGACACGGAGTTTGCAATGTCGGTGCCTCTGCATTCAAAGGCGGTGGATCTCCATGCTCCACTGGTGCACCAGGAAGACCTTGGTGGCCCATAGTTCCCGCACAATCCTGCCCCTTTCGCCAGAGCCTCCTCGTGCATATCCAGTCTTGGGATTCGGCGGCAACACAGACTGGTCACTTTGCTGGCTGCCGTGCTGCGCAAGAGTGGACTCTGGAGTCGACTAGTTGGTCGTCGATGTGGGCATTGTAGATGGCAATGTTCCACTTCCACTTGATTCGCCAGCAGGCGCCGGGGTGGCCACATAGCAAGGCACACCTGGTGGTGCAGCACCACCAGCTGGTGTTGTTCCCACCGTCAGTGTCAATGACAAATGGGGGATCTCCTTCTCAGGCCATCTTTCCAATTCCATTGCCCTCCTCATCAGGTCGTTCTGATGAAAGAGCCTGCTGCCTACCTGCACCCAATAAATGGGTTCACTGCCAGGTGGAGCATCCCAGTCCATATTGGACTCTGACAGTGCTTCAAGCGCCAACCTCAAGCCCTCTGGGGCGTTGGTGAACATCTCCGTCATCGGCCACCGTGGCTCTTCCCTCAGATCGGTGGCCTTTGTCTCGGAGCCTCGTCTTGCCTTCTTGAGCTCTGAAGGTCTTCCATCATCTGGCGTTCAAGTGCACGTTGAAGATCTTCTTCATCACGTTGTTCAGACCGTGTGACCCGATCAGCCAAGTGCCTCTGTGCCTTCTTCACCTCTTTCACTTTTCGCTTTGTGGTGGCATCGGAACTCCATCCCGTTCATCGTCCAGTCGTGACTCATGAGCCCCCTGTCCAGTCGGCCACCCCGACTCTATTTGGATCCTGTGCTCGATGGATGGCCGTTGAGGCTGATCTACCGCCTTCTGGCCAGCTTTTCCATATTGTCCACCACTGGCACTGATTGCACCACCAGCTGCCGCCTCTTGTAATCGAGGTCCTTCACCAGCACTGATTGCCCCCGCTGCATCCAGTTCATCCTCTTCTTCAAAGGGCATCTCAAACAGGTCCACGTTCTGTTGATCCTCCTGCATTCTTCGGAGCTCATTGGACTTGTCTTCTCAGAGTCATCAGGTACCACAGGCAGGTCTGACTGCGGTGGAAGCGTCGACTGCCGCGCGTTCATCAGCTCCACCGTCGAAGGCTTTCGCTCCAGAAAGGATTCGTCTCCATGCGAGCCAACAACTGACCAATGTCATGTCAGGTGGTCTTCGAAAAAATCGTTGGGTTCATAACCTGTATGCGAAGTGCACAGGTACTTTTCAGCCAAAAGAGGGTCTTCGGTAGTGTACATGTTTCCATGCTGCTATGTCATGATGAGTGCAAAAAGATCAGGCTTTCCCCGAATGCAATGGTTATTGAAACAACCTCCAAGAGGTTCTACAGTCTTCTGCAACTAGCTCTGGCTTCCTTTTGGTGTGGATGCCGTTTGCATACGCATTGTGTCGAGCTGATGCAGAGGCCCTCGAGCAGATGAAAGCCGTCCTAGAGGACTGTGCTTTGGATTTGCAGCTTCTTTGACCGGCTTTGTCCTATGTTGTTTTTCAGGAAGATCGGGCGCACCAAGACTGGGTGCAGAATCAGGACAGGTCTCATGGGTGCAGCTGTGTTATAGAGAGAGAGAGAGAGGGGACAGTTTCATTGTTGAATGTGTCAGGTGGTGGACGCTTTTGCTTGGGCGTTTTGTTTGTTACATCACAATTTGTTGGAACAAAGATGGACAACGGCCACATACCAAAAACTGAGGCAGTGTGAATTACAACGTCCTGAACGTGTCTCCAGGTTGACTACACATTCACTCACCACATGGAGACGGGGGATTTCAAACTACCTGAGTCTATTAACCAGTCTAATATAGTTGTCTAATTTGCAATAAAGGGTATTCGGGTATTCCTGCCTGCCTTTAATTCGCCCAAACTCAGCCTAGCACCATACTCGCGAGCTCCGTATTGTCGGTCTGCTTGATTTCTATTTATATACAAGGAGCCCCTAGTAGTTTCTTGCTCCTAGTAGCGATGCCAGGAGCTACTAGTAGCGTCCTTGCTCGTGATAGTTCCAAAGGACCGAATACCCCACCCCACCCACTTTGCATAATAGAATAGCATCCCCACCTTTGGGCACACGCATCGCAAGCATCATTCGAGTGGTTGGAATTTGCGACACACATGTTGTTCCAGATTAGATCAGATTAGGGTTTGAGCGTTTCCACACAAGTTGGTGACAGCATCAGAGAGCACTCCATCGCCTCCGATAGTAATTCTCTTCCGGATGGTGCAGTGGCTGAATGAGCAATCTCTTCTCTCGCTTTCGTTCCCGCTTCTCAAGTGGTGTCAACATCACCGGAAGCTCAACTACGTAGTCGCAACGTCGTAGTCGATTGACCTTTTCGGGGCCTTCTTTCTCATAATCCTTGATCCTTTCTCCTTGCTTACAGACGTTGGTTCTATGCCTGCGCTAGGAGAAGGTTTGGAAGGAGTCGCATGAAATGAAAGCTGCTGACGCTCCTGTGGCCACAAGCAAGAAGGAGGCGGAATCTGAACATTGTTGCAGATCCAGCTGTGAATGAAATGCAGTGACTCCCGAAACCCGAGGTTGGGGGGTTGAAATGTTCCAAGCGTTGATGGCTAGAGAGAGGCTGTGTAGCGATCTGGGACTGCACAGAGCTGTTTGGACATGGTTGTTTTCATTTTCAGAATGATTGCTGGAGTCCTGGCACGCAAACTCACACTGGTCGCCCAAGCAGCGTCCGTGCCAGGAGGTAGAGCCTTTGATGGACGCTCGGGACGTGCAGAATCAGGCATGCAGCGCATGCATGGTTGAATTTCGCCGTAGCCGCCAGAGGTTTTGAAGGTGGACTCAGGACCAGGAAATGCTGCGTCTTTCTCTTGATTGGGATGAACGGACGTGGCACTGGGGAAGGTTGCTCACAGTTGCAGTCACCAGGGCCTGTGAACTTCAGACCTTGTGGAACCTATGGGGTCGGGGGCAAGGGCAAGGTTGTAACATGTATTCTCACGAAGTCCGACCGTGTTGTCACCACCCGATGTGCACAACTGTACTATGTCATGGGCTTTATTGTAGAGAAACATCAAAACATGATCAATCTCGAATGGCTCTCAAGAAAACCTGAAAGCCGCTTTAAAGATAAACAAAAGACATGAGATAGGAGTTGTAAGTGCCTGGAGGCATGATGAAGCAAGACGAGATAGGAAAAGGACATAACATAATAAACACATGACAAACTTCTTGTGTCATGTGACTAGTTCAACAGGGAAGCAAGAACTAAAAACAATTGTTCATTTTTTAAACAAAAACTTGTGTATATATATATATATATCAATCCCCTCCTGCACCTATGTACAAAATCGCTTGATCATCAGCTGGCTACAACTCCCAAGTCATGAGTCTTGAATCAGCAATTCTTCAATATATACCTTTTCTTGTGTTCCCAATGACTTAGGAGTAGTGGACCACAACTACTATGTCGACTATGTCGTTGGCCCACACAACTATATAACTCCCAAGTTACCGGTCCTTAGGTTTGCTCGGTTTTGCATGTAAACAAATGACAATTCGGTGTCGTCGGGGCCAGATTCGCGGAGGGTTGATTGAGCGTTATAGATAATAATGGCTTGATGATGAACCTGGTACAGTAGCGGCTAGCGTTAGCAAAATTATCATGATTCGGCTGTTGGCATGCTGATAGCTTACGCTTATGCCCAATGGCTCACAGGATCCCGTTGAGCAGGGTGCAGGCCGAAGACTCATGGCCATGCTTCCCATTGCATTTAGTGTTGGGGTTGCTATGTCTGCTATGGCGACGGCCCCTTGGCATGATGACTGCATTGAACCTGTGTCTCGCACAAACTTTCTGCTCCAGGTCGAAAAACAGAGAAAGTTTGCACGAGGAACAGGAGGACATTTGACGAAGTGCGGGCGGTTGATCAACGAAACATGCGATCCAACTGCCAACAACATCTGCAGCAACAACTGCAAAGTGCACACTCACGGGCAGGATTGTTATCGGCCAGTTCCAGAGGTGATGGCCGAACATCCAGGAATGGATGGCTATTGCTATTTCAATCAAACTGGCTTTTGGGTGTCTCCGTTACCCGATAAAGATCAGGATTTTATCGAATATGCCAAGTATGGCATACTTGGTCTAAGAAAGATGGGTGGCTACCCGGTTTCATCAAGGTCCGCTGATCACTTTCAATTTTGAGGGCCAGGTAATCACAAGCTACATGGACGCACCGCATTATTCCTATGATGACCTCTACGGATACTCCTTGGGCTTTTTGCAAGGGCAGGGCCTGGATGCAGAGCTGATGAAGAACGCCAGCGGCTGGATAGCAATTTCAAGGCTTGAAGTGCTTGGAAATCCAGACCAAGTACAACTTCCAAAATGAAGCCTAGCTTTTTTTTTAAAGGAAATTGTTGTGTTCCTTTCAACTTTAGAAAGAGGTTTAATGTTCACACATGCCACTCACACACATGCACACACACACACACACACGAGATAATGCGTACGGAACTGAATGCCACATGCCACACACCCACCTAGGTATGAACGCCTAAGAGTTCGAGGAAAAGGTATAAGTCCCAAAGATCTCAAAGTTCACAAGTTCACAAGTTCCAAAGAGCTCCAAGTTCACAAAGTTCTCGAACGAGCGCGAAAAAGGAAACGAGAGTCGACGAGTGCTCATCTGCAGACCTGTATCATCCTGCAGCCTGAGGCCTCTACGATTGGAGAATGGCTAACACATTCACAAGCTGCAGGTACAGGAAGGTGATCAGCCTTCCCTTCCCATCCATGACCCTAGCTTCGTTGCACACGGTGGGTCATGGATGCCGTGTGCCCCTGCTGTCAAAACGTAGCAAACACACACACACTCGTGCTAACCAGATGCTGGTCTTGTTTTCCTTTTCTGAAGACATGTTTCCTTCCGTATCCAGGAAGAGTTGGTGCTGGCTGATTGGTTGGACGACAACATGGTCCTTTTGGCGAAGGTGATGTGCAGCGCAAGCCTCACTGCTGCGCACATGCTTCCTGACATCAAAGGAAAAGCCAAGTGGAGAAGCCTGACAGATTGCGAACCCATCACGGCCAGGGACTTTGCCAAGCACCATTACATCAAGTGTCTTCTCGGATACCCGAATTCGGCGTCTGATGGTGCATATCTCAATGCACGCGCGTGTCTTCTAGGAAATCATATAGGGCACTTTACTGATTGCCCCTATTCACCAAACGTCCACTTGTGAGCTTGTGAGGCTCAGCGTTTTTTGTCTTCAGACTTTTCACTTGGTGTTGGTTAACTGTGAGATTTTACAATGGCCATGTGTGGCCGCATGTCTCGAGTGAGCCGCTTCCCTGAGCACTTGTGGACGGTCGTCAAACTCACTGATTGCCAGTGCTCTTCACCACCAGTCGGGACAAAATTTCCGCAAACAACGAACTTATTTTTGGTGAGGACCTATTCATTGTTCGCTCTCCGCTGTTGTGTAACGACCTTTTGGTATTTACACTTGGACCAAGGAGAAAAGTTGTGTCTTGAATCCTGTTGTTGCCCTTCTTGACAAAGACAAAGGGATCTGACTTAATCACGTTGAGCTAAAGCATGGGACAATGGTGCAAGAACATCCCCAGGGAGACCTCTCTTTGGCAGTGTTTATTTGGCAGGTGAAATTCATTCCTTTACGCCTCACAGCAGAAGAACGCAGTGGGACTCCTCAGGGACATTTGCTTGGTGTGTGTTTCTCAATGCACAAACACCTCAATGAGTCAATGAGAGCACAAATAACTGTCAATACAAAAGTTGATGTTTGTGGTCTGAACAGACGGATACTTGTTGTGAACAATCTGGAAATAGCCTATCATATATGTTTAACATGTTCCTTCATAGAGTGTGAAGCATGCAGGTCAACTGTGTTTGGTATGCTTGCCGCGTAGTTGTTCTTGCTTAGTGAGGAGCACTGGTACTGCACCTCTAAGTCTTGTTCTTCCTAAGGCTTGCTTGGCATTCTGGAAGGTGCACTTTATGTCTCAGAGTGCGCACACGTCTCTGAGCGGGTGGGGTCCGGTAAGCCCGACCTTAATCGGATCCTTGAGCCCTCCACCCTAGTAGCGATGGCCTCCACCCTAGTAGCTACTTGTTCCAGACGTTCCAGAAACTAGGTTTCAGAACAATTGATTTCGGCTCCAGCTGTAGGTCAGAGCACTCATGGTTGCTCAGATGGAACTCTTTCCGTATCGATGCATCACCTGACAATGAAGCAGACAACGACGCGTGGTGGAGATGCAAGCAATCTGTCAGATAGATACCGAAATGAATTAGGAGATGCTCCTTTGACAACACAACTTGAAATCAGCGCTGTTTGGCCTTGCACCAAGCACAGTTAAACAAGACCACCTCCTTGAACCCTCTAGCATTTGTCCTCCAGAAAGGGGTGCCAAATAGCAGCATTAGAGATCAATAATATAGAGACAAACCTGGCCGGGCTTTGACTTACCTTTGTCTTGCGGCTTGGACCACGCCGGAGCTTGTTGCCGGGACCGCGCAGCTTGATGTTAAGCTTGATGATCTAAAGATTACGCTATACTAGTTTGATCTAGTTTGTTTGTCTTATTTTTCAAGGTTGTGCTAGCTTAATTGTCGTTTGTCGCAAAGGCTTGTTGTGAGCTGCGTGCAAGTGTACGCTAGTCTACGACACCGCCTATGTCTTCACAACACCTAAGGTAAGCGAGATGAGCTTTGATCTCAGTGGATGCAAGTCATGTGAGTCACATCCTGGATTTATAAGTATTGCTCCATCAAAGAGGCGCTCCATCAAAGAGGCTAGCAAGTAGGAGGTAGTGTAGTCAATGGAGTTAGAATGAGATCGAGCAGTGCTTGCATGAGGTCTTCGAAAGAGCAAGACCATTGAGCAAATCTACCAGTTGCTTGGGCCAGTCGTTTGAGAGTTGCAACTTTTGACTTCGGCCCGCTAGACAAGAGAAACGAACAACCAGATACAACCAGTATAACGCAGGCAAGAAGAGCAACCTGGAAGGTCCCATGAAAGACCATGTAACGCCAGGAAGAAGAGCCAGCTGGAGCACATTCTCTTAAGTTCCGACCTCAATGCTATAGGTGAGGTGTGTCCCATTACCAGTGATTAACAGTTGGTAAAGGATTATATGGGAGTTGATCGAAAAACCCGTGTAAGGAGTTTTATATAAAACAGCCTTTCAGATCTTGTTAGAACCATCCGCGAAAGATTCGCGATGAGGTTCGCGAAAGTATCTTTTTTTTCTGCGAAAGATTTATCGAAGGTCATCGCTTTCATTGTTTTCCTTTCTACCGGACTGACAAAGAATAGAAACGCAAGAGCCAGTGGGCGGAAGTGTCGCCATGTGTCACAGACTAACTAACTGAAGCCTCAACATTTCCGTGCCCAGCCCTGGCAGTCCGTAAAGGATTCTCCGATTCCTGTCCCCACTGTCACAGACTAGTAATCTGGGTAGGCACAGCCCTGATAGTGAGGCAACGACCTGCAGCTTCTCTGACGGGCAGCGCAGATGTTTGCAAATGTTACGGCTTCCCGGGGAAAGCACCCGTGAAATTTTACGAAAGATCCGCGAAAGTTTCGCGAATGTGCCGCTAAAGTCTAGGTTCCCAGCTTGAGGCCCCCCAACATTCCCCAAGTTGCATCACCCTGTGTTGGTAGCTGGCACGAGGATTGGGTTGAGTTGTGCCTGACTCTATTTGGCACAATTGCCGCACAGATGCTGCAAGTGACCCTGAGTACTGAGTAGCTGTGGAAACATTCAACCATCTACTGGGGTCATGCTGCAAGATGTCTCTCCCTATTTTGTGATACTATGACATGTTCCGGCTCATGTTAGCTAGACATGGTTGTAGGACCATGCTTCGCGATGAGGCCGCGAAAGATCCGCGAAAGATATCTTTTTTTTCCGCGATGAATGGCCATTCCAGGATGAAAGAATATTGATCAACCACCATATATCACTTATCACCGATTATCACTGTTTTTTTAGAACTTTAGAACGGCCGCTAAGCATCATCATCCACTGGGCCCTGGTCATGAGATATACCCAAGCCATGATTGACATTATATACTGTATGTGAATGAGCATGAAGCCCGTTCGTGATGGTCCGATCGCCTTTTACCATGAACTTGCACGAAAGGTGCACCTTGGCCCGAACCTTTTAGCAGCGAAAAGAGGCGCCACATGACACGCACGTGGTTCGCCTAGTTGGCAGCGGAGCTGTCGAGCTTCGTTTGCTGTCCCTCCCTGGCGCCATGTCGACGCGGCTGCCCACTGCTGCCTCTGCAGCGGCCTGCGGCGGCTCCCATGACGCCCCGTGGCGACCCTCCTTGGACGCTTCTCCGCCCTCGAGGCCTAGCAGCTGCAGGACCGACTCACGACCTTCCGGCTCAGAGGACTTCGACCTGGCCGATGACGAGTTTTGGGTCTGCGACCGCTGCGGCTCGGCTGATGCCGAGTGGAGTGAGAAGCTCAGGACGTGGAGCTGCGTTCCTTGCGGGTCGACGACCTTCTCCCCGCAGCCCTTCGGCGGCGCAGGCATGGACGGCACATGGTTCTTTGTTCCACGAGGCCTTCATCCTGACCAATGCACCATGCAGGCCCTTCAACTGGACTTCCGAGGTGGTTTGCTCCGAGCTTCATGGCGGCGCAGCCTGGTCATGCCGAGCTTGGACCTTGTCGAGTATTCCACCACCCCGATTCAGGACAACCTCATATACCGCTTGGCATGGATCCGTCACTACTTCATAACCGCTTCCGATGGCAACCTTCTCAAGGTCAAGGACCTGCTCATGATCCACCTGGCGAAGGCCCATCCGGGGCCTATGGAAAGGACACTGCCGAGAGCGAGGCTCCGACCTATGATCCAAGCATCGCACCCAGTGATATACTTGGAACGAATGGCAATCCCGAGGTGACAACATCACCGGCTTCAACCACTTCATCAAGACGCCGGAGAAGAAGGAGGCGACCAGATGGAGGACCTCCTGGAGATCCTGATCCACCTGATCCTGACCTACCGCCCGATTCTGGACCTCCTCAACTGCCTGAGCCTCCAGCATCTTCGAACAGGTCAGCTGCGGGCGGCAAGCCCTCGAGGCCTGGCGGATCTGGTCCACCTTCGGATCCACCTGGTGATTCACCTGGCCCTTCATCCTCGACTTCATGGAATAGCATGAAAGGGCCGATGCACGGCATCAAGTACCGCGGAGGCCAACCTCCACAACCACCGCCCTGGCACTATGACGAGGGCGACCTGGCGGCGTTCCGCAAATGGAAGAAGCGGGTTGAAATGTGGTCCCTCCTGGCGCCCCGAAGAAGGAGGCAGGAATCCTTCTCTACAACTCCCTTAAAGGGGAGTTGGAGGAGGAGCTGGAGGATGCTGCAGTGGATCGTATCTACGATCCCGATGGAGTGACCTTCATCGTGGACACCATCCAGAAGGCGGTTGAAACCAGGACCGTGCACCTCAAGAGACAGCTGCTCTCAAGCTACATCTACCGGAGTCCAACCGAATCGATGAGATCTTTCACCAACCGCTACCAGAGGACAGAACGCTCCCTCGCCACCATCAACATCCGTGTCCAAGACATGTACGACAGTGAAGCGAGAGGGGCCCGGTTGTTGGAACGGGCAAAGTTGTCGCCTGAACACCAGCGACAAATCCTGATCAGCGCCGGACAATCGTTAGAGTTCGACCAGGTGAAAGATGTGCTGCTTTTCCAATGGCCAGATCACAAAGGTCTTCCACCAGCTCTTGGCGCACCAGCTGATCGTGGAGGAAAAGGACTTCGCAGCCACACTGGCTTTCAGCCCAAAGGGAAAGGCAAGCCTAGCGGCAAGCAAGTCTTCGCAGCAGAGACTGTGGAGCGATTACCAGAACATGGACTTCCCCCCTGACACCGAGGACGTCCCTGAGGAGAATGACGGAGAGGAAGATGCAGCCGGGTCTGACGACCTTGAAGCTGCAGAAGATGAACAACCTGACGACAGCACCTGGGACGACCACGAGGTGCAGGAGATCCTCAGCATCACGGCCAGGAAGTTGGCCGGAGTGATGCAAGCAAGAAAGTACGGCAATCCCACTTCCGGACCGCCGAAGAGGAGCATCTCAGACCGGAAGAAGAACACCCATTGCTCAGCTTGCGGCCAACAAGGCCATTGGGCCGGTGACGCTGAGTGCACTGTTAGCAACAAAGGCGGCAAGCAAGGCAAAGATGCTTCAAAGGGCGCCGGAAAGGGCGACAAGGGCAAGAGCACCAGGACAGTTCATTTCATGAACCACTATGGCGGCTCCATCGACGAGCACGATGATGGATGTGAGAGCCAGCACGTTTCCCATGCGGTTTTTGTCTCACATCATTTACCCCAACACCAAGTTTGCCTGATGGATGCCGCAAAAGCAGTTGGCCACGTCATCATTGACACGGCCTGCCAGCGGCTTTGCGCTGGGAGGTATTGGAGTGAGGCCCAAAGATCTTTGATGTCTTCATGGAACATCGCCCCCGCAGAGTTTTCGTCGTCAGAGTATTTTGAGTTTGGGAAAGGGCCACCTATTCACTCCACCACCACGTTTTGCTTTCCGGTCGTTTTTGGTGACTACATCTGCATCTTGGCGCCATGCATCCTGGAAGCCCTCATACCGTGTTTAGCAAGCAGCCACAACCACATCAAGCGCTCAGGGAATCGGCATGGCAGCTACGCCCAGTGCCTGGATTGCAAGATCAAGTGGCGCTGGAACAAGGAGTTGGACGGGTGGGAACACTTCACCGCAGCATCCAGTTCCTCACCGTTGCCACTGCCTTCCTCAGCAACTGTCTTGGATCACTCATGGGCACCAGCCTCGAAGCGCCAGGCTACCCGCACGATCAGCTCCCACTTCCTCCGACTACCGGTTCGAAGACAGCGCCGGCATCTTCGGGGCGGACTTCTATGAGAACCTCCGGACCGCTGCCGAAGCGCAAGGCCACCAACAAGCAGAAAGACCAAACGGTCTGGG